TTTTTTGAGGGGACTAACCATATCATCTATCCTCTATCCCTAATTTCTACAATTTACAGGTACATATTATAGGTACTCGGGAAAGATGTGTTGAATAAATGAATGGTGGAACAAATCAATAATCAGTCAATGCATAGGTATCTCCTTGCATTGAAAAATGTAAGGAGGCACTAAGAGTTTCTGTGTCATATCCAAAAAGAAGCCCACTGCGCTCCATCCCTTTATTTCTAGTGCCACTTGAAGTTAAATTGTGAATTAATTTTAGCCCTTTGTGCCTCAGACTTTCTGAAAATCAAGAAATCCTTTTAAATGATTCATAACCAATGCAAGTATCAGTATACATTTAGAGAGGACAATAAGTGAATATCTTTTAAATAAATGTTAGATTAACATTGATTTATGATTAGCAAAATAACTAAAACTCAAATAAATCTTTTATTATACACTTATGTTAAATGCTGAGAAATTAACTTAATTTTGACAGGCAAGCAAACAAATTTCTATTCAGGAAGTGCTATTTTTCTATAGTTTTTATTTACCCTCTATTATTGTACATTTACTGAATTAAGAGATTTCTGGGCTTGGAACTCACAGGGGAAAATGCCCTGCTCTTGCTCCCAAGGCAGTCACCATGGAGAAAGGAAAACAACCCTGGACAGGCAATGGTAATGCCGTTAGAATGTGGAAAGTGCTGTAGACACCAATGGGTACATAGATGTTTCCAATACACATTAGCTCTCTGTGTCTATTTCCTTGGTTAAAATCCTGACTCATCTATTCAGTACAACAAAGTATTCCAAAATAGCACATTTCACAGAATCTTTTAATTCAGAGTGAAATTTAACAGCTCTATACTTTTGTGTTCAATAGAAAAAAGAGGGCTAAGAAGACTTACTTATTTCTCAGGAGAATCAAGAGTTTTTGCACTTTCAATTCCCTGTAGGTCTATATGTTTGCAAAAGATTCATGCCAGTGCAAAGTAAAGATTATTATTTTATTGTCTGACATTACAAAGACAAATTTATCCCCAGAATGTAACAAAAAATGTTTTGCCTATAAAAGCTGCTTGATGAGTTTTTAGAAACAACAACAAAATTAATAAGAGTAGCTAAAAAAATCAATGAACCTCATATACTTCCAATAATTCAACTAAGAAATAAGTTAACACTGTTACAGATAATGTACATATTTTATGTTGATAAATAACTATCTGGGCTCTTTTATTTTCTATATTTTCTGTGATTGCTAGCTGATAACAGTGAAAAAACTGGAAATATGACATACTAAAAAAGCCACACAGTAAGACTAGAGGCCTGGATGCCACATATTCTTGATCACTAATTGTTGACAGGTAATCTAAGGTCTTTGTGTATTTTCTATATGGCAAGAAGTTATGAGCAACCTAACCTTGCTGGTGATTATATCGAACACCACAGCATACCAAAGATCCATGAGATGTCTCATGAAATGAGAAGGTTCCAAAGAACATATGTTGAATGTAAACCTCAGTCAATAATTCTGACTCTAAAAATAAATACACTATTTTATTTAAGTTGCTAAAGTAGGAAATGAGGCACAGAGCTACAGGAAAGAAAAAAATATATATTATGAAATAAAAATACTTCATGGAAAGTAAAATGCTGAGTCACAACTAGAAATGTTCTGCTTGTTACGATATTTCTAGATTTTTTTTTAGTTAGAGAACATGCATGTATATTTTCCAGATACCAGAATCTCATAGTAAGCAAAAAAAATTCAGTTATTAAGAAACTTCATGCTTCACTTCTCTTTATTCCTTTGCTTCAAAAGAGCTCCTACTAGAAATAGACATTCTCCATCTGGATCCAAGTAATGGGAACTGGTTTTAAAAATAACTGACTTACACAAAGTCTATTTAAAAAAATAGCTGAAGTTTTAAGATTTTTTTATTGATAACTTTTGAAGTTCAGATTTAGTCTTGAAATGTATAAAACATGAACTTAGTTTTCTGTTTGTTGGTGGGTTTTTTTTTAAAGTGTTAATGCCTATAATAAATGGTTAGGATTATGAAGGCTAAGGAAATAGTTTACAAGTGGTAGGGCCGAGATAGTCTATCCAGAAATTCAGGCCTGCTCATTTTCCCCCAAAGCACTATCACAGTTACAACTGATTACATAAACCAAACATGCATTAATCATTCATTCATTAATTAAGCAAATATTTGGTAAAAGCCCAACATATGCCAGATACTGCTGTTAGTGCTACAGTACAGCAGTGTACAAAGGTGACAAAATTCTAACTGTAGTCTGTCAATGTCCAACAACGGGCTGGGGGAGGAGAGAAGGCTTATTGTAGCAATTGTTACATACATAATGTACACACTCCGGTCAGGACAGATTTCAAACTACCAACCTGACATCACTGAACTTAAGAGTTGAAAAGAAATGTACACAATAAACTTTTGTGAGCCTGTGTGAGCTCCAACACCCCACTGAAAAAATTCCTGCACAAGTGAAAACCACATTCTAGTAGAGAGAGAAAGAAGTAAGCAACATTTTAGTCATATATATGGCATATCAAATACCAAAAAGTGTTATAGAGGAAAAAGAAGAAAGGCAGGGAAGTTGGGTAGGCAGTGTGGGTAAGAAGGAGCAAAACCCTTAAGGTGGTTAAGGAGTAGTCCAAATGGTTAATAAAGGAAGAGCATTTTAGTGAGGGGTCTCTAGATGACAACAGAGTAAAGTCTTGGCTATTTATTTTATGGATTTTGGTTCTCATCATAAGTGAGATAGGAAGACATTGAAAGGTTTTTCTGTTTTTGTTTTGTCTTTAGTCAAGAAGTGACAAGATCTCATATTTTTCAAATATTTCTCTTGCTGATATTTTGAGAGTAAACCATTGGGAGATAGGCAAATGTGGAAGCTAATGCAATAATCCAGGCAAGAGGCCATGGTTGCTTGGGTTAGGGTGGTAGTGGACAGAATGGTGAGAGGTGGTGAGATTCCTGATATATTCTGAAGGTAGAGCCAACAGAATTTGCTCACAGATTGAATGTGAAGTGTTGCCCAGAAGATGATTCCAACGATTTTGTTCTAAGCAACTGGAAAGATGGATTTAGCACTGCAGAATTAGAGAAGAGCAATTTTGGAGAAAAGACCAGGGATTTGGTTTGGTATATGTATCGTTTGACATGCCTATTAGATATCTAAGTGGAGATACAGAACAGGTAGTTGGGTCAATCAGTCTGGTTTGAGGACAGGTTGGGCTGGAGATTTAACCGTGGGAGTAGTCAAGACACTGATAATATTTAAATGCTGGGACTCAATGAGAACACCAGAAGAGTGAATATAAATTTATTTAAAACTTAGCTGTTTAACAAACACATATTCCAACTCTGTTCTCAGTGTCCTGCAAATATTAACTGATTTAATTCTCCAAACACAAAAAGGTAGGTTCTACTGTTTTCCCCTTTTTACAAATAAGGAAACTGAAGCACAGAGAAGTTAAGTAACTTGCCAAAAGTCACAGGTAAATAGCTAATAAGTGATAAATACAGAATTTCCAACCAAGGCTGTTCAGATCCAGAGTTCTTGTTAGAGAAGAGAAGTTATGTACAAGGCTGTAACTTCCAGCACTACAAAATTTAGAGGTGAGGGAGATCAGTAAATCCTATTCACAGCAGGTAGCATATTTTAGATTCCCACAGAAACTTTAAACATGTTCGAGGGACTAGAGTTACCAATTGTTTGTTTCTTTTTATACTTCTCTATATATTCTACAATCACATATTCTTTTTTACTGAAGTATAGTTGATATACAATATTCTATTGGTCTCAGATGCACAATATAGTGATTCAACAGTTATTGATACTATTAAATGCTCACCCCTTAACTGTAGCTACTGTCAATATACAAAGGTATTTCAGTATTATTGACTATATTCCCTATACTTCATTTTCATCCCCATGACTAATTTATATTATAATTGAGATTTTTCTGCCTTTTTATCCCTTTCATCTATTTCACCCATTCATCTCCATTGTCTCCCTGATGCCAACCACGAGTCTGTTCTCTGCATCTGTGAGTTTATTTCTATTTTGTTCATTTGTTTTGCTTTTTAGATTCCACATATAAGTGAAATCATACAAAATTTCACTTAGTTCTAGAATCAGGAAGAAATAACAGAAGTTGAATTATTTTTTAAACCTTGTTTCAATGGATGCATGTTATTCCCTATTTGCAACACAGCTCATTGAGAAGATAAAATGGAAATCACTACAGAAAACTTGATTGTTCTCTGTTTAGAGGATGAATAGTTAGTTACCCTATAATTTATTGGCCAAACAATTCCTTAGAGTAAAAGGGAACACTGTTAATTATACTATAACAACAGGCTTAAGTTAGGACTACCACAAACATAACTGTAGTAGGTATAGGCACTCCAGGTAGCCTCTTTCTTAAGAAGAGAGCTTGTATGAACAAGAGAGCACCCTCTTACCGAGTCCATGAATACTACCTTCTTATTAGTGTTTACTATAGATTAAATATACCTTTATTTGTTGTTATTGTTCTTCAGCCTTTTTACTAACTACTGGTTAGCACTGGGTATCAGAAAACAAACTGAGCACCACCTGCATATTATTATATGTGGGCATTGGAGATATGCTGTACCTGTCCTTAAGGTGAAAAACAATAATAAAGAGTTCAGCTATTTTGATGATTAAGCCACATTTCAAGGATTTGGAAAGACATAACAATGATGTTAAGTAAATGAAATCAAGTAAACTGTTATTAAACTGTGATCAAACACTAGACTAAGACTCAATAAAAATAATTCTCTGTGTTTCTACTCTAACTTAAAATATGGGGAAGAAAAAAATCTACATATCCACTTCTACTTCCTAAGCTTCTCTTAATATTGCATAAGTACTAACTTTGTGTGAAATATATGTAAGATGAAATGCAAAATGGAAATATAAGGGAATATACTGTACCTTGTTTTACCTGTAAGGAACACACACCTGACAAAAGGCAATTTTCACATCCAAGGTTGGTTCACTGCAGTAGTACAATAAATGGAGGCTCATAAATACCTATAAAGAAAGGCGGGGCATGAATCTCCAAATCAACTAATTTTTCATTATTTAACAGTGTAAACTGTTAATATAATTCAAACTAATACAAAGTGTTATGCACAAAATATATTCAACATAATCCATACTCTGACCATACTAGGTACTTTTCACAAATTGCAAATAGTAAATAAGAAAATAAGATAAAAAATCCTATCTTCTATATAATCAATATTATTACAATCATGAAGATGTAACTGGGTAGCGTATCCTATTACATAGCACTTTCAGTTCTAGGCATCTAATTTTAAACATGTCAAACACATGCTTAGAAGGATATACATAAGGGTGTTTATTGTAGAATACAGGGACTCCTAAATAAAATGTAACAGAATAGAATTATATATAGGACTTGGAATATTTGAATTAAAGCTTAGGGTATCAGTGCAGATAAATTTTTTGAAATGTGATATTGAGTAGGGAAAAAGCAAGTTTCAAAAGGGTGTGAAGATCACTATATTAATATAAAATTTTAAACTATACAAAATGATATATATCCCTTTTTATGTAACTGTAGAACCAAGAGTAAAGAAAATTGGGTACCTTATTAATGTTGGTTTAATCTTGGTGGTAAATACAAAGATTTCAATTATATTATTTTACATATGTTTAAGATGTTTTATAATTTTGCAAAGTTCTAAAGACTGGATAAAAGTCATCTAATAGTGGTAACACCAAATTAGATACTGGGTTATTGGGAACGACGAGATAGCAACAGAGAAACCCAAGTGAATCTTATTCAGTTCAATGAAGCACAGTTTACTGAATCTTTATTGTGTACTAGCCACAAATCTGTGAGATTAAACAATTTAAAAACTACTGTCATGCAAGACTTCTGTTTCTGACAATATGAATGATTAGCTATCCTGAAAACTATTCTCACTGTACAACTCCTAAAAAGGTTAGATGAAATATACAAAACATCTTTTAAAATGGATAGTGAGCTGCCAAAAAAAGGCACGAGAAGTTCTGAAAGACTGACAACTACTTGAAAGGATCCATGCGGAGAAGTAAGTGAGCTGAGGCTGCCACTCGTCCCCAGGCCATCTGCTGATGTCTCAACACTAGAACTTATTTCTAAAGGGTAACATGTAAAGTACAAGAAGCAAACCTTAGAACCTACTGTGGGAAGTCACATGAGAAACACCTGCACATTAATCTTACTAGAGGAAGTTTTAAACAAAATTCAGGAGCTAGCAAAACAATTACAGAAGGAAGGTCTGAATGTCAAGAAAAAAGTTTTACATGGAAACTTGTGCATATTTTTTAAATTTAAGGAAAAATGGAAGGACAAGAATATATAGGACATTCCTGAAGAAGAAGAAAGTAGGTATCTGTTTGTGCGGTTTGGGGACGGAATTGCTCTATCAGAGATCAAGATTTATAATAAAGCCATAGTAAGTAAAGGTATGTGGGATGGATGCATTAATAGACTTACCAATTAACAGAATACAGAACCAGAAAAAGACATATACATATTTGTAAACCAGATTTTTAAAAAATCTGTGTTGCAGAAATTTGGGGAAAGAAAAAACGATGCATTAAATCATGCTGAGACACAAGTCATGAATATACCTGGGGTGGTGTAGGAGTAGGGGAGAGGGTTGGAAGAAGCACATTACAGTGGGGAGACAATTCTCTATAGGCTCCTCACATTTTTCATGGTTTGCAAACAGAAGCACTAACTGTCTTTATTCAAGATTTGATTACTTTTCAGTATAATGAAGATAAAATATTCCTTTGGTGCAAGAGATGCCTACTTCCCATTATAAAAGATTTGGGCTCCCTAAGCTTGAAGTTCTTCTCTTATAACATACACTATACAGGCAGTAGTCATCAGACTTCTTTGAGACACCCTGTGGGAATGGAGCTGAGAGGAACTGGCATGAATGGTAACATTCTTGCTACTGTTATGATGCAAGTGATAAAGATCTTTGTTAGTTGCATTTACTTTTTCAAGCTGGGTGGTAAAATCATGCACGTTTGCTTCATTATTATTCTTTAAACCATACATATATGAAATATCTACCATTTGGTGTCTGAAATATTTTATAACAGAACAAAAATTCAACTGACACAAGGAACTAGTAGTCCTGCATTCTCTTGCTGGGCATTGTTGTGTAGGCCCAAATGCCTGGAACCAGAACACTTATAATAGCCATTAATAAGAAACAATCTTGAGGAAAAATTCTGAGTAGTGTAAAGCAAGAAGACAGAAGGAACTGTGTACTTGATGATAACATTAAACACTCAAGAAATTTTGGAACTTTTCTACTTCTGGACCTTCTGTTATATGAGAAAGTATATCCCCCATAGGAAAAAAATTTTACTAAAATATAGCCACTAATTAAAAAACAAAATAAAGGAACAATAAAAGAAACAATTGACTCCTTAAGTTTTAATCTATGATATTAACTTACTGAATTTCCATGAAGTATATGCATAATTTTTGCCAGTTTCCTCTACTTCTTTTTTTAAATTTTTCAGCTTAGTTTTGATTCAGGGATAATTTGCACACAGCAAAATGAACAGTTCTTAAGAGTACAGATTGAAGAGTTTGACAGATAACACGTGTCCAGGCAACTCACATTACAGTGAAGATAAGGAATAGTCTGAAAACTTCTAATTCCCCTTCCTGAGCAATACTCCTTCCCCCGAAAATGTTCTAACCTCTTTCACAACAGACCAGTTTTTCTTGCCCTAGAGTTCACATAAATGAAATCATAACAGTATGCACCCTTTTGTTGGCCTTCTTTTGCTCAGCAGCATGCTTTTAGTATTCATCCATTTTGTCATAAATATCAGGAGTTGTTCCTTTTTATTGCTGACTATAATGCATCACAGTGTACTTAACCATTTTGCTTTAGGACATTTGAAGTGTTTCTGTTTCTTTTAGTGTTATTAGAAATGCTGCTGTGAATACTTATGTATTTTTCCAAAAATTTGTTTTAATTTCTCTTGGGAAAAATGCCGAGAGAAAAAATGTTGGATCATACGATTTAGAAACATGTTAAATTTATAAAGAACTGCTATTGTCAACCCCCTGAAGCAAGGTATGAAAATTCTTCCTTGCCAACATTTAGTACTACCAGTTTTCTAAAATTTTGGGGGTATCATTAATAAAAAATCACATGAGCAACATTGTGGTAATAGATTCCCACCATTGTCAAGTCCCCACCACATACCCCATTAAAATCAAAGTCCATCATCATAGTAAGATGCTATAGAGTCACTACTTGTCTTCTCTGTGCTATACTGCCTTCCCTGTGCCCGCAACCCCACATTATGTGTGCTAATCGTAATGCCCCTTACTCCCCTTATACCTTCCTTCCCACCCACCATCCCCAGACCCATTCCCTTTGGTAACTGTTAGTCCATTCTTGGGTTGTGTGAGTCTGCTGCTGTTTTGTTCCTTCAGTTTTTGCTTTATTCTTATACTCCACAGATGAGTGAAATCATTTGATACTTGTCTTTCTTCACCTGGCTTATTTCACTGAGCCTAATACCCTCTAGTTCCATGCATGTTGTTGCAAATGGTGGGATTTGTTTTCTTCTTATGGCTGAATAATATTCCATTGTGTATATGTACCACATCTTCTTTACCAATTCATCTACTAATGAACACTTAGGTTGCTTCCATTTCTTGGTTATTGTAAATAGTGCTGTGATAAACATAGGCGTGCATGTGTCTTTTTGAAACTGGGATCCTACACTCCTAGGGTAAATTCCTAGGAGTGGAATTCCTGGGTCAAATGGTATTTCTATTTTGAGTTTTTTGAGGAACCTCCATATTTCTTTCCACAATAGTTGAACTAATTTACATTCCAACGAGCAGTGTAGGAGGGTACCCCTTTCTCTGCATCCTCACCAGCATTTGTTGTTTCTAGTCTTTTCTATGTTGGCCATCCTAACTGGTGTGAGGTGATACCTCATTGTGGTTTTAATTTGCATTTCCCTGATAATTAGCGATTTGGAGCATTTTTTCATATGTCTGTTGGCCATCTGAATTTCTTCTTTGGATAAGTGTCTGTTCAGATCCTCCACCCATTTTTTAATAGCTTTAGTTGCTTTTTGGGTGTTCAGGCATGTGAGTTCTTTATATATTTTGGATGTTAACCCTCTTGTCAGATATGTAATTTACAAATATATTCTCCCATACTGTAGGATGCCTTTTTGTTCTGCTGTTGGTTTTCTTTGTTGTACAGAAGCTTTTTAGTTTGATGTACTCCCATTTGTTCATTTTTTATTTTATTTCCCTTGTCCGAGGAGATGCATTCAGAAAAAGTTGCTCATGTTTATATTCAAGAGATGTTTGCCTATGTTTTCTTCTAAGAGTTTTATGGTTTCATGACTTACATTCAGGTCTTTCATCCATTTTGAGTTCAATTTTGTATATGGGGTTAAACAATAATCCAGTTTCATTCCATTGCACGTAGCTGTCCAGTTTTGCCAACACCAGCTGTTGAAGAGGCTGTCATTTCCCCATTGTATATCCATGGTTCTTTTATCATATATTAATTGACCATATATGTTTGGGTTTATATCTGGGCTCTCTAGTCTGTTCTATTGGCCTATGGGTCTATTCTTGTGCCAGTACCAAATTTTCTTGATTACAGTGGCTTTGTAGAAGAGCTTGAAGTCAGGGAGCATAATCCCCCCAGCTTTATTCTTCCTTCCCAGGATTGCTTTGGCTATTCAGGGTCTTTTGTGGTTCCATATGAATTTTAGAACTATTTGCTCTACTTCATTGAAGAATGCCGTTGGTATTTTGATAGGGATTGCACTAAATCAGTAGATTGCTTCAGGCAGGGTGGCCATTTTGACAATATTAATTCTTCCTATCCATGAGCGAGGGATATGTTTCCATTTATGGATATCTTCTTTAATTTCTCTCATGAGTGTCTTGCAGTTTTCAGAGTATAGGTCTTTCACTTCCTTTGTTAGGTTTATTCCTAGGTATT